TTGTCCCATGAAGTTTGCCCCTTAGAAGTCTCCAGCTCCAAAGAGGACACTACATTTCTTTGAAGATCCTGGAGATTTGGAAATGACTTCTGAAGCACAATACTAAGATGATTAAAGATCTAGGAGGAAAATTGGAAATGAAGACAATGAAGGAACTAGCTGTAGGAACTAGTCTGAAAATATGGTTATTCCAATGTGCCTTCCCAGAATAAGAAACTCCCTGCAATCTGTCCTTAAATTCACTTCACTAATGACCTAGGATTGTTTGCACACCCATCAGTTTCCAAAAACCCTACCCGAATCATATTTTACCTGCCATGTCCAGCATATTTTAAAATATGGCCCAGCCATAAGTTTTTAAATGTTGTCGTGCTATTGTTAATGTTTATTGCTTATTTTCTGTTATGAATTTTATTTACTGCTTGTATTACTGTTGTTTTTGCTTTTGTTATTGCTGTGTTGTGGGCTCAGCCTCATGAAAGCCACACTGAGTCCCTTGGGGAGATGGTAGCGGGGTACAAATAAAGTATTATTATTATTATTATTATTATTATTATTATTATATCCAGCTTCTTAAGGTTTGGTTTCTAGACCTTGATCATCTTGGTGACCTCCTTCTGAATACATTCAATTGTCAATATCTTTCTTGAACCGTGGTTCCCAAAATTGGACACAATATTCAATGTGAGGTCTCACCGAAGCTGAAAAGAGTGGGAATGTTACTTCCCTTGATTTGGAGATTATATTCCTATTAATGCAGCCTAGAATCATAGAATCAAAGAGTTGGAAGAGACCTCCTGGGCCATCCAGTCCAACCCCCTGCCAAGAAGCAGGAATATTGCATTCAAAGCACCCCTGACAGATGGCCATCCAGCCTGTCACACTGTTGACTCACATTCATCTTGTGGTCTGATAAAACCCTGGCATTCATTTCCTATGTATTGCACATCTGCCACCCATCCTATATTTGTGTGTTTTAGTTCTCTCTCCTAAATGTAGTTCCTTACAGTTCTCCAGGCTGAAATCTTGTGTGTTTTGACCCAGTTCTCCAATCTATTCAGGCTGTTTTGCATCCAGATCTCATCCTCCGGGGTATGAAGTATCCTTCCTAATTTGGTGTCATCTGCAACTTTGATAAGTATACTCTCTATTCCATCCTCCAAGTTGTTTATAAAGATGTCAAACAATACCAGGATTTGGATATGGAATTTACAGAGTACGGGTTGGACTATATTCATTGCAGCTTTCAGTTTATTAGAGAGTTGTTTCCATTCTATCCAAAAGAACTCAGCAATTGTTAGTGAAATACACATTTAAAGGACCTACCCAAAACATACCGCTATGGTCAGCACAAGAAAACGGTGACATGATTTTAATGCTTCTCATCAAAACATTTCTTCCATCCCGCACCAAATCCATGTTGATCTTTTTGTTAAATCCAGGATCTTTAGATCCACGTCCTGCTTTCTCCCTCCCTTAAACCAGATTACAGGAACATCTCACACAGTTTGTATTTAGAAAGGAATGGATTTCTTCCAGATTAGGATATCTCTTTCGCCACCAAGAAAATCCAAAGTTGAACAAGGTTTTTTATTATTAAAGAAGCGACGGTGTGGAACTGGAAGAGAGGGAGAGAATGGGAAAAAATAGAAATGCATTTGGAATTAGTTGCCAAGTTGTGTAAAGTTCCGATTCACCAATCACACAAGACATACAAAAGGTGAACTGCATCAAAAACAAAAGAAGAGTCCTTTTTTCAACCTGGTGTTTTATTTTACTAAGAAATGCTGACATTACAACTGAGTTTTAGTGCCCCTAGTCAGCAGATTTTGAAAAATGGGATTTTTTCCCCCTCATGTCAGGAGTGACTTGAGAAACTGCAAGTCGCTTCTGGTGTGAGAGAATTGGCTGTCTGCAAGGACATTGCCCAGGGGATGCCTGGATGTTTTGATGTTTTACCATCCTTGTGGGAGGCTTCTCTCATGTCCCCGCATGGGAAGCTGGAGCTGACAGAGGGAGCTCATCCACGCTCTCCCTGGATTTGAACCTCCAATCTGTCGGTCTTCGGTCCTGCCGGCACAAGTGTTTAACCCATTGCGCTGCCAGGGGCTCCTGAAAAACAGGATGAAACAAAGATAGTTGCAAAGACCGGCATTGTTGTTTTTCCTCTTCTTTCGGCTGCATTTCAGTTTCTATGTGCCTTGAGTGACAGCTGGTAAGCATTGAATTTCTACATATTAATAAAAGAAATTGGAACATTCTGTTTGCCATTTTTGGTGGCCTTTTTTTTAAAAAAAGTGACTGGCTACGCTGGCCGATCCTTGAGAAATTGTTTATAATTGAAGCTTCGAGGAGTTACGCACCTAAAATCTAAATGTACATGGTTTTAAATGGCTGCAGTTTCTAAAAGCAAATTAAACTGTTGCTTTTCAAGTGGATTTTTAACTTTTAACAGGTTCTAATTATTTGCTTATTTTAAAAAGGAAATGTTTTCCATCATTTATATTGTGTGCTCTCCTGATATCCTGGATAGTGCTTTAATAGATACCTAGATTGATAGATCAATCGAGAGATGATTGGGGAGATACAGAAAATGAGAGATGATAGATAGATACTTAGACAGACAGACAGACAGACAGACAGACAGAGAGACAACAGACAGAAAGATGATTGATAAGTAGAGATATATAAATGTGTGCTGTTTTGATATCCTGGATATAGGATAGAAGTGCTTTAATAGATACCTAGATTGATAGATCAATCGAGAGATGATTGAGAGAGATACGGAAAATGAGAGATGATAGATAGATACTTAGATGGACAGACAGACAGCGAGAGAGACAACAGACAGAACGATGATTGATAAGTGTTGTTGTTGTTCATTAGTTCAGTCGTCTCCGACTCTTCGTGACCTCATGGACCAGCCCACGCCAGAGCTCCCTGTCGGCCTTCACCACCCCCAGCTCCTTCAAGGTCAGTCCAGTCACTTCAAGGATGCCATCCATCCATCTTGCCCTTGGTCGGCCCCTCTTCCTTTTGCCTTCCACTTTCCCCAGCATAATTGTCTTCTCTAGGCTTTCCTGTCTCTTCATGATGTGGCCAAAGTACTTCAACTTTGTCTCTAGTATCCTTCCCTCCAATGAGCAGCCGGGCTTTATTTCCTGGAGGATGGACTGGTTGGATCTTCTCACAGTCCAAGGCACTCTCAGAACTTTCCTCCAACACCACAGCTCAAAAGCATCTCTCTTCCTTCGCTCAGCCTTCCCTAAGGTCCAGCTCTCACATGCGTAAGTTACTACAGGGAATACCATAGCACTGACTAGGCAATGGATCTTTGTTGCCAGTCTGATGTCTCTACTCTTTACTATTTTATCAAGACTGGACATTGCTCTCCTCCCAAGAAGTAAGCGTCTTCTGATTTCCTGGCCACAGTCTGCATCTGCAGTAATCTTTGCACCTAGAAATACAAAGTCTGTCATGACCTCCACATTTTCTCCCTCTATTTTCCAGTTGTCAATCATTCTTGTTGCCATAATCTTGGTTTTTTTGATGTTTAGCTGCAACCCGGCTTTTGCGCTTTCTTCTTTCACCTTGATTAGAAGGCTCCTCAGCTCCTCCTCGCTTTCGGCCATCAGAGTGGTGTCATCTGCATATCTGAGGTTGTTAATGTTTCTTCCAGCAATTTTCACCCCAGCTTTGCATTCCTCAAGCCCCGCACATCCTCGCATGATGTGTTCTGCATACAAGTTAAAAAGGTTGGGTGAGAGTATGCAGCCTTGCCGTACGCCTTTCCCAATCTTGAACTAGTCTGTTGTTCCGTGGTCAGTTCTGACTGTTGCTACTTGGATAAGTAGAGATATATAAATGAGAGCAAGAGAAAGATGACCAATAGATAGATAATAGACAGATTGAGTTCTCCTTGAAAATGCAAATTGCATCTTTCCAATTGTAATCATGCTTTTTATATAGGTTTTCTATAAAGGAGTAATGACTGACCAACACTTACTTGTGTTGGTAAGTGTTTAATCATGCGTTAACTAATAGTCAGTTTGGAAAGGAAAGAAAACGTATGCTGTTTTCTTCTTGTTTCTTCCCCCTTTCTCACATTTGTTGTTGGTTTGGTTTCTCATTTCTCCCTCCTCTTTTGAAATCCATTTGGATTTTCTTTCCTGGCGATGGAGCGCGTTCGCTTGTGCCAAGTGTCTGTGGAAAGCCGTAGCGTTCGGCTCTTCGGCTAACGAACATGCAAGACCACACTTGAAAGACTGGAGGATGTGCCGTTTTGCTCAGAGAGGAAGAAACACAGCCCGCAGCTCCATGCTCAAGCCTTGAAAAGACCCATTCAGGTCAGTAGCTGTGAAATGAATGAGAAGAGATATTGGTAGTTGCAGCCTTAGTCAAGGCTGGCCGTAAAAAAGCCGAGGCCGGGACTTCTTGGGCTTCTTGCTCTGTTCAGAAAGGGGGGCCTCCTTTCACCCCCTGCCAGGAGACACCGAGTTCGTCATAAGGAATGCGGTCGGATACATTCATGTGGTGATTAAATTTCCCCCTTTCAGAGCTTGGATCTGGAGGAAAGGCGAGCATTTCATGTCCGGCTAATCCAGAAAATCTGTCCACAGCAAGACCAGGGCAAGGGGTGACTCTCTGCGGCTGGTTGGCAGGGACACGGTTAATCCTCTAACTCCACCCCAATAATTTGGGAAGGGTTTACGTTGAACCTGGTTTCCTTCTAGCCATGGCAGGAGTCGGACTGGAGCAAGGCATGTTGAGATCAGGGGAGCAGCCGTGCCCACAGAGGGGTCTACCCCATTGGCAAGCTTCCTTGTGCGCATCCCTTTGATGTGGAGGTCACCTTGAGACAGGTGAAGAGGAGGGCCGCGTCATTGCTGCTTATAAGGGAGTGCGCCGGATGTGTCACCAATGCCTCTTCGGCACCATGGGCCTGCCGACAGACTGAACATCTCACCACTTCACCTGAACATCTCATCACTTCACCACGCCATCGAAGAGCCCAGCTTTTATGACTGTCTTCTGCCAAGACATCATTCCTTGAGGATGTCGTGACGGGCTTCTGTTCTTTCAAAGTGTCCTCAACTCCTCGCAAGAGCAGTGGTTACTCTCTTTCTCTTCTTCACTTTTGGCATCAAGGACGGAGACAAAAAGGAGGATCTGATTCTTTCCTTGTCCCATTTAACTCCTGGCCAGATGCAGTGGATCGTACTTTTCCTGTTACTGTGGTTCATCAACTCCATGGAAATGCTCACGCAAGACAGACGGAAGATACAAGGTATGGGTCATGCACTTATCAAGCGCTTGGTCAGCGTTCGATGTGATAACTCAAAAAACCTGCAAACCATTGATTTGCATGACTATTTTTTCAAGATAGGGGAGGCCAAGATGAATTGATCCCTTTCCCCTTCCTTTCCCCTACTGTTCATAACTTTTGCACAACCGCTGTACCAGGTGTATGCACTCCTCCAAAATGATGTTTAACACTTTCCCAAAATGCACATGTTGTCTCTAGGTTTGAGTGCATGTCTCTGTTTATTGTTGTATGCAACTTTGTTCGGGGAAGTTTGCCTTTGCTTTCCTTTGAGGCTGAGTAGGTCCGACATCCCCTAAGTCACCCAATGGGTTTCCACGACCAGGCAAAGAAGACATCGTCAAAGTACTATCATAGTCAAACTACTACACTATGCTGGTTCCTTTATTATTCCACACCAAGTCTATACTGAGAATTTAGATAGAAATCTTCCTATTTATTCATTATTGTCTTCCTTCCTTGTTAAATGGTTTATAGCAATCAACTTATTAAGATGCACCAAAGTGAATGGTTATCAGCAAAGCTCATGCTAGAGCAACCATTGGCAAACTTTGGCCCTCCAAATGTTTTGGACTTTGACTCCCACAATTCCTAACAGCCTACCGGCTGTTAGGAATTGTGGGAGTTGAAGTCCAAAATACCTGGAGGGCCAAATTTTGCCCATGCCTGCTTTAGAACCATAGGTGTTGTAGTTTTGCAGGTCTTGTAGTTCAGCCAAAGAGTTCCACAGCTACGGACAACGCTCTTTGGCTTAGAAATGGAGATGAGCACCAACCCCCAGAGTCAGACACAACTGGACTTAATGTCAGGGGAAAATAATAATAATAATAATAATAATAATAATAATAATAATAATAATAATAAAACTTTATTTGTACCCTGCTACCATCTCCCCAAGGCACTCGGTGTGGCTTACATGAGGCCGAGCCCACAATACAACAATAAACAATAACAACAACAATACAAAACAATAAATAAACTCATAAACAAAAATAAGCAATAAACATTAACAGTAACATGACACGTTTAAAAACCATTACCTTTACCTTTACCTTATCCCATCTTTTTACATAAGTGAGAAGGAACCATCTCCTTCTTCCATCTTGATCTGGGAACAGGTAAGTCTTTAGATAAGATTTCACCCTTGGTTTCCAAACAGGAAAATATATACTGAGTGTATGTATGTGTTTGCAAGGCAAGCTGTGAGCAGCTATGGTTGATAAGTACGATAATACTTAATGCTTAACTACATCATAGGAGCCATGCCTAGCTCTTGAACTTGCAACCTTATTTAGGACACAAAAATGTATCCGTAACACATTAATTGCTCTCAGGGTAAACAGAAAAGGGAGAATTAAAGCCATCCCAACAAATGGAGTTTGTTGTTGCGTGCCTTCACATCTGGCTTACGGTAACTGTAAGGCAGACTTATTAGAAGAGGCATTGGCAAACTTGGGCTCCCCAGGTGTTTTGGACTTCAACATCCACAATTCCTGAATTGTGGAAGTTGAAGTCCAAAACACCTGGAGGGCCAAAGTTTGCCCATGCCCATACTAGAGCAAACCCTTGTTGCTGAATCCCTTTATGCTTTTTAATGCTGAAAACAGTCATAACATAGCAATCTCTTACTTATTACTTAGGCGATCCCTCGTTGTCCTAGTATGATGGCCTTCCAAATGTAGTGTCTTGACGGTGGATACGTAGGTGACTGTACAACCCTATTCTTGATCTGCATGATGTTAATACCTCTTGCGCAACACATTTCAGCTTCCTTAGGTAGGTTAGAAAAGGATTCTGGGAGCTGTAGTCCAAAAGATCCCCTTCCTCATTGGAGACAGACAAGATGTTTAGAAGAGCTGTGATTTCCCATCCTGTACCTGCTCAGTGTCATCTCTGATGTGAGATTTTAGTTCCCTCTTTTGATTTTTAGTCTGACATCAAGCAGATGTTTGCACAACAGACTCCTGAAAAACCTGTCAACAAATACAGGAATGAGTATGACGAGGCTTCCCTTTTCAGCCTCGTGGGAATTTGGATACACCACTTTTCCCGTTCCCTGAATCGACTGCCCTCCGTCCATCCTGTTTCTTAAATTAACATCTTAGGGTTTATTTAGGGTTTTTTTTTTGTTTTGTCAAGAGCGACTTGGGAGACTGCAAGTCGCTTCTGGTGTGAGAGAATTGGCCGTCTGCAAGGACGTTGCCCAGGGGACGTCCAGATGTTTTGATGTTTTATCACCCTTGTAGGAGGCTTCTCTCATGCCCCCACATGAGAAGCTGGAGCTGACAGAGGGAGCACATCCACGCTCTCCCCAGATTTGAACCTGCGACCTGTCGGTCTTCAGTCTTGCCGGCACAGGGGTGTAACCCACTGTGCCATCTTAGGGTGCATCTACACTATTATATCGGTACAGTTTGAGACCACTTTAGCTGTCACGGCACAGTGCTAATTCATTGTTGGAGCTGGAGTTTGGTGAGACACCAACCCTCTTTGGCACAGATGGCTGAAGACCTTGCAAAACTACAACTCCATTGATTCCACCGTATCCAACCATAGCAATCGAACTGGTGTCAGACTGCAATCATTCTTCAGTGTAGATGCACAGGTGGGACACCAAAAGCCAGATGTCTCACCACAAGATACAAAATGAGGCATCCAAACAGAGATCTGGAAAAAGATGTTGCAAAGTCCAACTATTGAACAGGCTTTCTAATTTGGACAGGGCAAAGACGATTTAAACAAAGGGAACTATTCAGAGACTTTTAAGTATTTACAAACATACAAATATATTTTCCCCCATCCTTTTTTTTATGTATTGTCGAAGGCTTTCGTGGCCGGAATCACTGGGTTGTTGTAGGTTTTTTCGGGCTATATGGCCATGGTCTAGAGGCATTCTTTCCTGACGTTTCGCCTGCATCTATGGCAAGTATCCTCAGAGGTAGTGAGGTCTGTTGGAAACTAGGAAAATTGGGTTTATATATCTATGGAATAATGTTCAGGGTGAGAGAAAGAACTCTTGTCTGTTGGAGCTAGGTGGGAATGTTTCAATTGGTCTAGGAAACTAGGAAAAAGGGTTTATATATCTGTGGAATGACCAGGATGAGACATGGGTGATATTCTGCAGGCACTAAAGAGAAATTGCTTAGAAGATGATTAAAAAGAATGAGCGGAAGTCCTGAATTGTGAAGCATGTTACTGTAGGAGGATGTTTATTATTGTTACTAACTTGGTGACACAGTGTATCAAGTATTACAGACTTTCGGGAATTTGGAGTCTATCCATGAATCTAGAAAACAGCAAGGTTGTTTTTGGACGCCTTCAAGTCGTTTCTGATTTTCGGAGACCCTAATGTGAACATATCATAAAATTTTCCTGGCAAGATTTTTTTAAGGAGTTTGCCTTGTTTACCTTTGAGGCTGAGAGAATGTGACATGCCCAAGGTCACACAGAAGGTTCCTATTGTTGTTGTTGTTGTTGACAACATTATTGTTGAAGGCTTTCATGGCTGAAATCACTGGGTTGTTGTAGGTTTTTTCGGGCTATATGGCCATGTTCTAGAGACATTCTCTCCTGACGTTTCGCCTGCATCTATGGCAAGCATCCTCACTACCTCTGAGGATGCTTGCCAAAGATGCAGGCGAAACGTCAGGAGAGAATGCCTCTAGAACATGGCCATATAGCCCAAAAAAAAACAAAAACCCTACAACAGCCCAACAACAACAACAACAACAATAATTAGCCAAGCAGAGATTCAAATCCTGGTTTGCAAAGCCATAGCCGAACACCACATTTGCTAGTTACTTGTGATCCTACCTATGGTTATTTCCTTCCTTCAGGTTTTGTCAATCTACCAGATCCCTTCTCATATGTTACAGGGATTCTTTCCTGATTCTTTACTATTGTCTCCTCTAGTCTTTGGGAAAAGTAAAGAGTAGTGGTTCCACAAGTATGAGGTGATACATAAACAATCCCAAAGAGACCAAGAGACAAACCATGTGCAATATAAAACGTTTATAGATAAGATTACAATAACCTCGTTTCCAAAAATTGACACTGCACAGTTGAGCATACCTTGTCTGAAATGCTTGGGACCTGAACTGTTTGGGATATTGGGTTTATTTTCCTTGGATTGTGGAATACTTGGGTAATGTCGGATTTTGTAGCATTCCAGTTATTTAATTTGAATCATAGAATCCTAGAGTTGGAAGAGACCTCGTGGGCCATCCATTACCACCCCATTCTGCCAAGAAGCAAGACAATTGCATTCAAAGCACCCCCAACAGATGGCCATCCAGCCTCTGTTCAAAAGCTTCCAAAGAAGAAGCCTCCACCACACTCTGGGGCAGAGAGTTCCACTGCTGAACAGCTCTCACAGTCAGGAAGTTCTTCCTAATGTTCAGGTGGAATCTCCTTTCTTGTAGAATCATAGAATCCTAGCGTTGGAAGAGACCTCATGGGCCATCTAGTCCAACCCCCTGCCAAGAAGCAGGAATATTGCATTCAAATCACCCCTGACAGATGGCCATCCAGCCTCTGTTTAAAAGCTTCCAAAGAAGGAGCCTCCACCACACTCGGGCAGAGAGTTCCACTGCTGAACAGCTCTCACAGTCAGGAAGTTCTTTCTCATGTTCAGATGGAATCTCCTCTCTTGTAGTTTGAAGCCTAGTCTCCAAGGAAGCAGAAAACAAGCTTGCTCCCTCCTCCCTGTGGCTTCCTCTCACATATTTATACATGGCTATCATATCTCCTCTCAGCCTTCTCTTCTTCAGGCTAAACATGCCCAGCTCTTTAAGCCGCTCCTCATAGGGCTTGTTCTCCAGACCCTTGATCATTGTAGTTTGAAGCCATTGTTCCCTTGCGTCCTAGTCTCCAGGGCAGCAGAAAACAAGCTTGCTCCCTCCTCCCTATGATTGCCCCTCACATATTTATACATGGCCCTTCTCATGTCTCCTCTCTGCCGTCTC